TATCTTGCCTAAAGCCATGTGGTCAGTCCATGGCTCTGTAAGCAAGTGCGTGTGATTCCGTTGGTAACGTTATTGTACTTTTTTTTAACTCTTAAAGACACATCATCTCTTAGTTCACCGATTTTTTTCATGCTAATCAAATATTTGAGAGCATTCTATTGGTGTGTAAAAACCACCCAGTAAGAAAGTGTGTGCCTTTGATGTGTCCTATCTCCCTCATCTTCCTCACTGTAAACCCAACGTATGAACCAGGTAACTCTGTGGCCCAGTTCAATTCTAAGATACCATGATTAAGTTCTTTTTTCATAGAAATGACTATTTGGAAACTGATGGTTTATGATTTGGACTAAGTGATTCTTATTTCATTTATGTGGGGATCTATGATCACAGTATAAATACAATATTAGGTTTATTGGCTTTGACCCAGTCTCGGCCTGTTAATGTAACATTCTACATCCAGAACCATGCTGGGAAAGGACTAATGCAGGACAGTGCAGAGGTCATGAACCTGCTTCTTAGTGGACATGCCACACTTGCTGCAAGGAGTGAACTCACCGGGCCAGGGCTGCTGTTCCTATAAATCCTGCTTTAGCCTTGATTGTTTCAGAGGATGTTTCTTTTAACTCTAAACATCAAGTTTGTAGGTATCAGGCATACACTTTCTGCTACTGACATAGTCACTTTCTTCAAATCAGTATTAAAATAATGTATTAATGGATAATTTCAGAAGGTGACTATCCCTTTGGTTGAGGGAAATTGCTATCTATCTATCCATCTATCTGTATACACAGACACATATTTTAAAAAGGTGACTTTAAACTTGTCTACTATACTCATTCAGAGTATTATCAGGTTAATAACTTGTCTTATTTTGTTTTCTTAATCTAGGTATTAGAAAGCAAGCCAAAACTTCCAATGGATAAATCAGTACCTGGTGTTCTGAAGTGGGAAAAAATAGATTAACTTCAGTAGGATTCATGTATTTTGAAAGAGAGAACAGAAAACAACAAAGGAATTTTTGTTTGGACTGTTTTGTAACAAAGCACATAACTGGATTTTGAACATTTAAATCGGCATTATTTTGGAAATTTTTAATATTATCATTCACATTACTTTGTGAATTAACGCAGTGTTTCAAGTCTGTAATTGCACACTTGGCTCTTTCAAAGAAATCCAAATTTCTTATGCTCCTTCTGAAATTATAGTGCAAAACGAAAAAAAATATTTCAATGAATGAGTCAAAATTATTTTAAACTGAGAATTTTCTAAAGTTCTGAAACTTTAGTGAACCATAATAATAACTGGCTTATATATGTCCTAGAATAGATTACTTTAGAAATGAGGCTCCTACTGTTTAAATAGATATGGACACATTTGGTGCTGAGGAAGGAACAAACACGTTACCATTGGTGTCAAGAAATATTACTATATAGCAGAGAAATGGCAATATATGTATTCAGATAGTTACACCCTATATAAAATTTATGTTTACATTTTAAAATTAGTAGATAAACTCCTTTCTTTCTGTCAAGTGTAAAATTTCATTCTGACTTAAGTCAGCTTTTGTTTTGGAATTAATTAAGTAATTGAACTGCCCAACTCCTGTCTGACCTTTGTTGATGCTCCCCTCTATTCTTTAGTTTTCCTACGGGCAGAGACCTTTTAATTGGCATTCTTAAAATTACTGTTCTGGGGACTGCTATACATAGGACAACTGTGTCAATGGGAAGTCATTCTGATGATAGATGTAATACATCCAGAGATAGTATGCATTTAAGTATATTAAACTATTAGCCAAAAAAATTTCCTTGCTTACATGAAAATCATTCAAACAAGTACCCCAAACCACAACTGTCTCTAAAATACTTAGAAATATTAATGAAAAACACCTTAGGATTTTCAACTTTTCTACATTTTTTAAATGATCAGCTTTAAAAAGAATAAGACTGAAAAATTTTAAATTATCCAGAATAAATGACAATGTATATGGATACAAGAACATTACCCTAGGTCATCCAGGAATCAGTCATACATGTTTTTTTGTGTGTGTCTGAAATATAATACAAATTAGCAAAGCACATAGCATTATATACTTGAGATGTTGGTCAATAAGGAAAGAAAAAACAACTTTCTGCAAAACCAAGGACTGTGTTGCATGAGACAGCTGTGATTTTATTTTAAACTGTGAAACCATGTGCCACAACACAATTTGGAGAATTTCTATTTTTCTGAGATTCAAAAGGTACAGAAAGAAATCAAATTACACTTTTAAGTTAGTGGTGCTTAAGCAGAAATGTTCCTCCCTTAACCAGTATTAAAATCTCAAGCAAGGTATTTCCAGTGCCAGGACACATTAGGTAGAATTTAAAAGTGAGTTGGCATCCCTGTATTATATGTCATAGAGCTGTAATGTCAACACCAGCTACAAGTAACTGTTCTGCACTCAACAAGTGCCTAGCAAGGCAAGAGGGGCTAGAGATGGACAGTAATCAAGGGTAGATAGAGTGGGCCACATGATCCTCATCTGCCAGGGCACACACTTACCAAGAGACAATACAGACAGCTTGATAGAGACCCAGAACTTCCACTGAGCTAGTATCTGAGCTATGGGATAGCTTCTTTGATGTACCTCTTTGCCTTAAATTGCTTTTAGTTTTAAGATTCTAGAACGATCCTTTTAAATTGTAATCTTTTCTAATAGAGATATTTTAATATACTTGCTTTTTTAAAAACAAAAACTACTGTCAGTATTAATACTGAGCCAGACTGGCATCTACAGATTTAAGACCTGTCATTTCATTAAGATTCTTACCCCTATACTAAAAACTGGCTAATATCATGGCCTTTGGATACATATGAGAAGATGTATTTACTATCATTCCATGGGCCTTCCATCTATCTGTACATCCATCATCATTTAAAGGCCTAATATACACTAGGCACTCACATGCTAGGCATTGGGATATGAAAATGATTGTCCCTAACCTCAATAAGTATTTGAAATGTCATTATAACCCATGAGGTTCAGCTTATTTCATTTTTAACATCATAAGTACATGTCTGAAAGAATTTCTGTTTTAAGCACTATTGTTTTTCATGACCATAGTTTATTAAAGAAAATGTTAAAAATGAATAGATATATGCATGTATGTGTTACTAACAGTTAAAACTATGTTTCCAACCCCTGAAGTGTCTGCCTTTTAAATGTAACACATACTATTTCGTTGATTTTAGAAAAAAACAGTTTCGATTAAGAGGCTAAAGATTCTCACTTACTCCTTATATAAATATTCCTCCCCACCCCTAAACACTCCCACATAACTCACAAGTATTGATTTAACACTCAATATTTTTGAACCTCAAGTAATCTCTTCTCTGAATAACCACCAAGACTCACAGATAATGATTAGCTGGTAAAATTTATCCATTAATAAAATAAAAAATATAATCCAGTCTTACCAAACTCTAAATAAAAAATCTTTTAAACAGGAAGTAGAAATGATACAAAGAATGTTGAGTACTGAAAAGAGACTGGTTTTTAAACTAATAAGAACTGTGAAAAAGTTGGCTAAATGGAAAGATAACTTAGTGAGTCTTCCACATGCCATATTAGTGGCCTCATAATTATTCAGACCACAGTCTGTATTAAAGATGTCTTGACCTTTGAGGCTAGGATTCAGTCTCGCAACAGTACCATAACATACAAACACATAACTTGCCTATTTCCAGGAAATCTTTATATTTTTACATAATGACTTTATTCACAATTGCTATCATCTAATTATTCACTAGGCATTATTTTTAATAATGAACAATTTTTTTTCTCCTTGACCTCATAGGAGATAATCACACTCATAAACCTTCCCAATACTTAGATTGTAGAGGAAATGCAGTTCACTAAAATTATCATGGTACTAAGAATTTATCTTTACCAAATTTGTTAAAATATTGAATTTATGGTCAGAAGATATTTTGTTTTAAAAATAGCTTGATAGTTAACAGTATAACTGATAAATAAAAATTACCCTTTTCTATATTTTTTATGTTTAGAATTCATATTCACAATCAATATATTCAATCAATAGCCATATTTCATTCCCAGCTACCAAAAGTCCTGGGCCACTTTTGAACACTTAAAGCATTTCATTTAACCTTCTAGCCAAAATGGTGCTGAATTATTTCAACTTGAATGTAAAATGTGTTGTCTTAGCTCACAGGATATAAACATTTAATATATAACTGCTTGCTATGAACTGAGTAACATGTGATTTGGTATTGTAATGTTTTTAATGAAGTTTTAGTTTCTCCCAAATTTTTCAGGAATTCTAGTTGTAAAACATTTTTAACTTTTTTGAAGAGCTCTTATTTTAAATGCCCAGACACTGGCTTTATATTCTTCTTTACACTCTCACATTCTTTTATTATATGCCTACACTATGATTGCAAGATTATGTAAAAATGCCTTGAATAAATGATTTCAAGTGTCTAGAGTGGTCATTTATTGTTACATATAAATAAATGATATGAATTTCACTTTAGATTAAGATCTTAAAGCCATGTGTATGGTTGGTGGTTTTGCTTAATTGCCTTTTGTATTAACAAATTATTTAACAAGCTCACATGACTTGAAACTTGTCTGTGATGGATAAAAATCTAGCTGACGTTTTAAAAAGAAACTATCATACATGAACAGATTCTAATGTTTGTCATCATTACCGACCACTTCCAAGGATGCAGGGCAAGCATTGTAAGAATAACCACTCTCTGTTTTGATTAGCATTTCTTAGAAATATACAAGAGCATATATACACCCAGGGGACACATCCAGCTCTAGATACAAATTATTTATATGAAGAAAAATATTGCTATCTTAGTAATCCTTATTTAAACGTGTACCAGATTAGCCTGGAAGCTGGTAACCTGAGAGGACAAACAGGCCCCAAACTGTGGGCAAGTGTTTTGGGAGGACAATTTGAAAAATTAACCCACGAACAATTCACCTTTAAGGAGCTCTTGCAGGCAAAGTAGACGTAGGCTTGTGTGTGGCAATTTTCAGATTTGACATTAGCAGGACATTAGTGACACTGGAAACCACCAATTTCCTGCTTTCCTTGCCTGCTCAAGGCAAAATATGTTATTAGTGTAAAAGATGTTTACCTTTCTCTCATCAGTGTTGACTGTTTCAGGCACTGTTCATTATTATTAGCTCACTAACCAAAGATAGGGAAAGGCAGGTTTTCCATTCTATCAGAAACTTTGACTGCCTTAAGTTACTCATTTATTAATATTTCTAATCCTTGCCACATATTAGTAGGTAATTAACACATAGGTTGAATAAATCACTTAAAGCATGTATTAAGGAATTCTAGTTTCACAAATACTCTACTCAAAAAGAACCCCACAGTAAAATAACTATGGGAAATGTTATCTTTATGGTGGCGATTCACAATACATATTACCATGTTAAAGATTCTGAGAAGCCCTGGAGGAAAGAAACCAGTTTGTTAGCCAGTGTTTCTCAAATTTATTTTGCCACAAGTTTTCTTTTTTTTTTTTTAAATAGCACTTGTTATCCTGTTAAACTTTTTTTTCTTCTTGGAAAACTCTGGAATATGACATATTAAGTAATTATCAATTCATAAAAATAAGGTCATTTACAAATTACTTAAAGTATGATTGAGGTAGCATTTGCACTATAGGACATAGGAATACCTGAAACCCACCAATTTACTGCCTGCCTTGCTTCCAAAAACCTGCATGGTTAAATAGGGTCCTTTCAAAGGAAACGATTATTTCAGCTTCTAAATCATGTTCTCTTTCAGAAGGAAACAGAGATCTTTCTTACTTGTTAGGTAACTTGAAAGCTTTATATACCCCTAATTAAAATCTCTCCTCTCCTACATATTGTTTATAACATTCAGGATGAACCAGTCATTTTCTTCATGGCTCATTCATTTTGTATAACTGAAATTATTATGTTATACATAATAGCATAGCTTAAGTAAATTTCAATTAAATCTTAGTACTTCTCACAGTGGGCAGGGAAAAACAAAACTGCTAATGAATGACTTGGAAGGATATATGCATGTATTTACAGTTTGCAATAATTTGCTGTTTAAACTGTTGATAATAGGCACCAACTTTGGAGAGAGAAAAAATAGCCGCAAACCACAAGGTGAACCATCAATACAATGACCAAGAACATGTCTTTGCCGATGTTAGAAATACAATATTTCCAGTTCCTAATTCCTTTAAATACCAAGTCAAGCCAGAGTTCATGACACAACTGTACATAATAGGGACTAGGGACAAATGCAATGATAGAAACTTTTAAGAGATAACTCCTTTTAAAAATGAATCAATAATGCTGGATGTTTATTCACATATCTTTACTGAACTAATGCATACATTTGGAGCCTGAAAATTTTGGAGCCAATATTGCCAACCAGTCATTTGCAAACTAGTGAATTATACCATTGTCATACAGCAAACCATGAGAATCAACCATTTTCAATTATTACAACGACAGTTTTTCAGTGAGATGGTTTTAGGAAAAAAACTTATATAACAATCTATAGTTGGGTTGATGCTGGGGCTAAGATTCATGGACATATAAACAATCTAATAGTTGTGACCACTTCACTTTTGTTTTAGGGCTCTTTGGTTTCTGGTAACAGGAATATATTTTAAACTTGATTACTCCAAAGAGGAATTTTTAGGCTTATGTAACCAAACAGAGGAGGGGCAAGTTAGGGTTTGCCTCAGGAGCAGATGGAACCAGGAAATCAAATACTATCAAGACCACATTCTTGCTACCTTTTCTCTGTTTGTGTGTCAACTTCATTCTCTTAATTTAGTTTCTCAATAAGGATGGAAACCTTATTGCCTGCAGATCTGGGTACACACCAACATAGCTTGTTGATCAGAAAGAAAATGGCATTAGCCTGTTACTCAAGTGTGAAAATTCTAAGGGAAGGCATTTCATAGGCTCAGTCTGGGTCACGTGCCAATGTCCGTTCCAGTCATTGTGGATACTATGACAGGTCCAACTGAGTCAAGTTCTTTACCCTATTAAATCACCAAAGTCAAGGAGACAGAGTCAAGGAAGAGGATGGCTACTCCCATCCAAAGCAAGTGACTGCATTTTTGGCTTCATGTGTGGGTATGAGGGGAAGGTGGGGCATGGACAATGGTAACTCCAGAGGAAGGGGGTGAGTTATGATGGGTATTGTCAATGAAAAGATTACTGGGAGCCAGCAAGTCACTCAATTTATGTCCAGCAAAAAGACTAATAAAATCAATATCTATAAAATTCAACTCATAACGTTTCCTTCCAAAATACTCACCCACCTCATTTCTGTTAAGAGAACCCCATATTCTCTGTATCTAAGGGCTGACTATTCACCCAGAAAGAAGTAATGCCATCTTGCTCTCCCTTTCAAGATTATTCACCTCCCCTATTGGCAAGTCTGAACACCGTGTTCACTCTCACTCACCATTTCACGACATCTTTAGTAGGGCATTTCAGGAGGGAAGCTCATCTTTACACGTGCGAGAAGATCCTAGTTCCTTTTTATTCAACCAGTCACCTTGAAGTTGCAAAAAAGAAAAAAAAATCCATCCAAAGAGGAAAAGGAAAACAAATAAGAAAAAGAGCCATTCTTTTAAGATTTTGATCCTCCAAATGCTACCCATTCTCACTGACCCGTCTACTATCCCTCTACCCTGTTGTCTCTGACCATCAGTGAGAGACTCCATCTGGAAAGGATATCTTAGAGAGGGAATGTTGCCTTCTTTAGTTCTGTTAGTTGCATTATGCTTCTAACACATTTACAGTCCCTGTAGAGTAGGTATAATTCAATGGCAGGGAAAGTGGGGAATGAAAACCTCAGAGAAAAGCACAGCAAAATATTAGTGTTCTGGAAGAACTGCAGCTGTAATGAGAGGCTTGGGTGAGAGTAATAAGTAGTCAGCTATACCCATCCCTCTCCCAATATTATCTTAGTGTTTTCACCATTCTTTTAAATCCACAGTATAGAAAAATTTACACGGGGTTGATGCTGGGGTGAGGCAGGAGTGGTGCACAGGTATGACAACTCATCCCAGACGTTTCTGAACCTGAGTCCAAGCGCATCAGCAAACTGGGTTAAATTTGCTTTGCAGATGAGGATGAGCTCAGAGGAATGGGATGGAAAACATACATGGTGCAACTTCTTCACTAATTTAGGCAACTAGCTCTCTGGAAAGTGACCTACAAAGCCAAGATATTCTCCAAGGCCTAGGCTGACCAGAGTTGCCTTTTCGTCCGCAGGGAGTTATTCTGTTACTCTTTCAGAGTTTGAGAAGGTTTATCAGGAGCTAGGCACACATAGCCTTATTTCCTGCCCCCCTTCTCCCCAATTTTCTAAAAGGAATACTTTTGAGTATTAGAGACATGGAAAAAAATGACATTCTCCTTTTCTCTCTCATCATGTACAAGATTTCACAATTTAGCAACAGGGGTTCCTCTCTTAATGATCAACAAGAGGCCAATAACAGTGCTTTAACCTCAAACATTGGTCTCATTTGAATGTACTTAGAAAAAAATCTAAGAGTTAGACTTTGCCCTATCAGAGTATTTTAGATTTTCACTCAAAATCAATACTTCCATCCTGGATCCACTGAAATCCTTTAAGTTGGTTATCATCAATAAATAATTTTCATTTCCCTGCAGTAATTACTAAGGTAACAGTTCCTTAATATCATCAGATATCTAGTTAGCATTCAAATTTCACCAACTGTCTCATAATTTTTTTCCTTTTAAGTTGATTTGTTTGATTGAGGAGCAAACAAGGACCACACACTGGCTTGGTTATTTTGTGTTTTAGTCTCTTTAAAATATATATATTTCCTTTTTATCATTCTTTATCTTGCTCTTAATGTGTGTGAAAAAATAGGTATTTTTATAGAATACCTACTGTCTCATAGAATTTTCCACATCCTAGATTTTCCAGACTGTGTCCTGGTGGTGTCACTTAATACATTCTTCTGTTCCTTGTATTTCCTATGAAAAGTCAAATCTAGAGGCTTGACCAGATGTAGGTTAGGTGATTTGGGGGAGCAAGAAGACATGATACGTGGTGGTGTGTTATTCATAACTGCATCATATGACGAAGCCCAGGATGTCTCTACCATCTATCTTTTGGTGATGTTAAGAATGACTAGTGGGTTCAGTGTTGTCAGTCTGATCCATCCAATATAGAAGTCCCCATCAGATTTTCACCTACTCATTTTAGCAGCCATTATTGATCATTGCTAGATCCATTATCAAATTTTCAAAATAGGTGATTTTAAAATTTTTTTAACTTTTTTTTTTTACTTATTCCTTCTTTTTAAAAAATTTTTATTGGAGTACAGTTGCTTTACAATATTGTGTTAGTTTATACTGTACAGCAAAGTGAATGATATATATATATATATATATATATATATACACACACACATATATCCCCTCTTTTTTGGATTTCCTTCTCATCTAGGTCAAAATAAGTAATTTTCTTAAAAAAAGAACAGTGAGTATTCCATAATGCTATATATGCTTTTTCATTTGAATTGAACTACTTGTTTCTTTCATTAATGCACTTTTATTAAATTAAATAACATTTAACATGAAACTTGATAACTGATCTTTTTTTTTTTTTCTTTTAGTAATTTGAGATAGTTTTGGAACCTTATAAAAGACATTTAAGGTGCTGTGCTCTTTCACAAGAAAGGCCAAAACGTTGTTTTTGGAGCTGTTTTTCTCATGTGCGTGTATATTTTTCTCCCCTTATTGTCAAAGGTAATTTTAACCTTACACAAGTGATCTGTTGACTTGAAATATCATGGGAAAACTTTGACCTAGAACATTTTCAAAGAGGATAGTTACTGGAAATACACAAAAGCTAAGGACACTTGGCAAGGAGGTTATATTACTTGCTTCAAATCTCTACACAAGTACATAGCTTTCTCCTTCCTCAGATTTTTCAATTTTAAATTTGGTTTCTCAATTTCCTGTAAACTAAATTTCAAGAACTTTAAATGACATTCAAGGCCTACCTTTATCTCACCCTAATTCTTCACTTTATTGGTT